AATAATCTATCGCAGGACAATGGCGGTTCGAAGAGCCCTACTAGAGATTCTACGTTGTACTGGAGAGGAATGATGGCTAGCTCCTTTAGGATGAAATCGTCTTTGAGCTGCTTGAATCCCTGCAGATCTGCCACGAAGGACATTTCAAATATGAATGAATGATTGCTCATGCTGTATCTCGTTTTATTCTCGTACCCCCTGCTATCGAGCCGCCTTCTTTTTCTTTCTTTTCAATCAATCCCTACACTATTTCTTCACATCTCCACTCACAAGATTATACTGTACAATGCGATCATGTAAAATCAGACAGTAAGCTGCTGTATTATCTGGAAAATTTTCTCTGCATCTTTAGTGTAGTAAGAATTTTGAAAATTCGCAAACATATATTGGTATTTATTGATGTTGGAATTAAGATTAACGTATGGGTAGTACTGCGAATTGAGAAACAGTTTAACGTTGCTGATATTGCAGTGATCAAATTCGCTAGAATTGGCAGATTTCTCTTCCTTCCGTTTAGTTTGAAAAGACAATACGACGAAGCGTGGTTTTTCCAGCTGATTGGAAGATTCGACGGTCCAAACATGTCTCGATGTGACCAGTAACTTTGGATATTCGTACAATTCCCATGAACGGAAACACATAGTGATTGGTCGGTCTTTGCTTATGTAATTCGGCAGTTTGATCTTTTGTCTATTTGACAGAACGACATAAAAGATCAGTTGCTAAGGCACCTGCTGTAGATTCTACGATAACAGCATTCGTGTTTGTTCTTGATCGTGTGATAATTAGTTCATACTTCATATTGACAACAATTTTACCATAGTCCTCGACAAAACCCAGCAACATACTAAGTGGAAAAGTGAAATCAAAAGAATCAGCGTTATTGAAAAGATTTTTTTGTATCATTATTACCACACCATCCGCCATTTTCGCTAATCAAACTTTGAATTGGATTGAATGAAAACCAATTTTTCATGACACTAGTCAGCCCCACATTCTTTGATTTATCAAGGTCATAGGTAAATCTGAGTGATGAGTAATGTTAGATTGTAGTTTTCAATATCCAAAGCCCAACAGTTGTCCAATTGAATCTTTTTTTTGAAAATCAACTGTGTGACTGCGATAACTCCTCTTGTTAGGTTTGAGAGTAATTTTCATACCCTTCTCAACCAATGCGTTTTGGAAAAAGTCCTAAATCTCCTCGATTTCGTAGCTTCCTTCAGGTAAAATAAATTTCTCGCTTCCAGGGTAAAACTTATTGTTGGGTGATTCAATGTTCGGTATAGAGTTGAACGTTAGCAGTTCTACCAAGCCTGAGACGTATTCCTTGTTCGATGATAGTTCTACTGCGGAAAAGTAGTATGCTTCGAGTATCGATGATGTATTTAAAAGACTTCAAGTCAGTGAGCTCTCCATGATAGTTCTCGACAGAATAATCCGATATCGACATATACAGCTCCTTATATACCTCTCCGTTCGCTAAGTTTAGTCGATAAAAACTGTAATCAAAGATGACCACAGTTATAAGTGTTAACTTCGTAGTTTTGATATCTCTTGTGATCGTATTTGATTTTATTGACGTTCAGATAAAGCAATAAATTCATTGGAGGTTGTAGATCACCAAAACTATCAAAGTAGATAACGTTCTTGCCCGTCTTGCGATAGACGACCCAATGCGTACCAGGTCCACTTTTATCATCTAAATTAATGATGGCTGATTTTTTGTAGTGTGGACCACCAGCAGGCAGATCATTTCTCATGTATACTTTACGAAAAATTGAAATCTTCATCAGTTTAGCATATTTTATCAAGTCGTAGTCGCTTAGTGCTCGACTAGGTAAGCTTATTTCCTCGAACTTTTTTTTTAAACCTCTTCTCGACCATGGTTTCAGATATACACCAAATCCCTTTTTGTAGGGTTTCAAGAATAAACCTTTACCCATAGCGATAATTTCCATTGTCTGATTGTGTCGTTGAGTATCCTCCAATTGTTTTCGAGCTACCTTTGCATAATTAACAGCCTATGCTATACCAGCAGCACCTCCAGCGAGAGAGCCAGTTGCACTTAAACTAGCAAATAGTAGAATGAGAAATGGTAGTGCACCATCAATTTACGCTGAAACTGGTAATATTCGATGCATGATAACACAACCTTTACCACCAGCCATCTTTATTGCTTCTTTCGCATCTTTTAAAGCCGAACGAATAATCGTGTTCGATCTATTACTCGGTATTGCTGCTGCTTTCGAAGCGGCGCTCACAATTGCTTTTAGTGTAATATTCTTTTTCTTCCTTTTTAATCCAGCGCCATTTTTTTTTCTTTCCAACTCCTTTCTTTTTTTTCATAGTAGAGCCTTGCTTCTTCTTGAGACCCATACCAAACGTATTTTTAATCTCTATAACGTTTGCTACAGCGTATGCTGCTGCTTTTTCATCAAAGTTGCTATCCTTTGCCAGCAATTTATCCCAAGCCTTCGTAGCTAAAACTCTGTCTGCTTTGTTTCTCGCTGCAATGTCTTCTCGATTTTGTGAGCATACAATATCGTGTTCCTTGCACGTTGCGTCACGAGCAATAATACTTGGATCTCCACGTGCCAGTCGTTCCTTTAATCTAGTTCCTGGACCATAGTACTGATAACCTCCTGGCAAATGAAGCTCGAATTGAAGTGAGTTAATGAATTTGTTAACAATATCACGTCCTTGACGTCTGCGATATTTGATAATCACTGTTCGACAATCGCTGTGTGACTGAGCTCTGCGGTATATAAGCGCTCATATTTATCCCTAAAGCTCAGTAGTAGTCGAAATATCGAACGATTACATGGATTTCGAGGAGCAGTCGCTGAGACTTCCAGTCGTCAACTTTGACGAAGTGATGCAGCAAGAGAAGCGTGAGAACATGAGATATTCATCTCATCGGATAAAGCTCAACCTAACTCCATCATTGTATTCAACGACATTGACACTGAAAAAAAAGACAAAGTTCGAGCATTCTTCTGTTCGGGAAGACATAAAAATGTAGATTGTTTTTATCTATGTCAATCATACGCGAAAATTCCAAAGCACTTGATCAGAGACAACGTAAATTTATTGGCCATACGAGGGTGGTCCGATAAGTACGTAGCCTCACCGCCCGGTGGCGCCACTCTCGCAAAAGAAATATTCTATCACGTAATACAACCTTCTCGATGGTTACTGTCAAGATTTCGGCCGGATCGGAGTTGTAGTTTATTTTTGAGAGCGTGTGAAAGCAAGTGGCTCCGTTGATTTTTGAAAAATGGAAAAAGAGCAGTATTGGTCGGTGATTCGATTCTTGTTTTTGGAAGGGAAATCGCTCAGCGAAATCAAAAAGCGCTTGGATGCTGTGTACGGTGACTTCTCCTTCGATGGCGACCGTCAAAAATTGGTTTAACGAGTTTCAACGTGGTCGCACGTCGAATTTTGAAGAGCCACGTCCAGGTGCTCCGAAAACGGCTACCACGGAGGATAACGTGACAAAAATTCACGATCTCGTATTGGCAGATCGACGATTGAAGGTGCGCGAGATAGCTAAGATTGTAGGCATTTCAAAAGACCGCGTGGGTCATGTCCTGCGTGAAATTTTTTGGGCATAAGAAAGCTGTCGGCGCAATGGGTGCCGCGTTTGTTCACTCCGGACAACAACCGCAACCGTGAGACAACTTCAGAGCAATGTCTGACGCTGTTTAAGCGCAATCCGAAGGAGTTTCTGTGTCGTTTCGTGACAGTCGATGAAACATGGATCTACTGGTATACACCAGAGACCAAGGAACAGTCGAAACAGTGGACTTTACCCGGCGAAAGTGCTCCGAAGAAGGCGAAGACTGCCTGATCGGCCCGAAAGGTGATGGCCACCGTTTTCTGGGATTCACAAGGTGTGATCTATATCGACTACCTGGAGAGAGGCAAAACGGTCACAGGGCTGTTCTATGCCGAATTATTGGGCCGATTCGACGTCGAATTGCAGAAAAAACGGCCCCATTTGGCGAAGAAAAAAGTGCTCTTCCACCATGACAACGCACCGGCTCACACCACCGGCGTCGCCCTGGCCAAATTGGTCGAATTAGGCTACGAACTGTTGCCCCATCCACCGTATTCTCCAGATTTAGCCCCGTGCGACTTCTTTTTGTTTCCAAACTTGAAAAAGTCACTCGCCGGGCAGAAATTTGAGGAGGTAATCGCTGCCACGGAAGCCTACTTTTCAGACCTCGAGAAAACGTATTTTTCAGACGGGTTAAAGAAGTTGGAGCATCGCTGGGCCAAGTGTATCGAACTAAAAGGAGACTATGTTGAAAAATAAAACGCCACTTTTCCAGAATTTTCGTTTTTCTTTTGTAGGTTAACTACTTATCGGACCACCCTCGTATATATATATATATATATATATATATATATATATATATATATAAGGAGAGAGAGAGACAGACAGACAGACAGAAGATTTGACGTTGCTTGTGACAGTCCCGCTCACCTGTAGTAGTCAAATTTCAGTGTCATCTTCTTAAAGTAAGATAATTTTAGTCTGCTACTAGAGCCGGTAGTATGTATGCGTGTGATAGCTACTTTTTTATAATTAAAAATTATAAAAAAAATAAGTTTGCCATTATCGTTCGTCAAACATTCTTGTTAGGCTGATTGTTTTCCTTTTTTCTTTGTTTCAGATTTTGATGTTTTGTTGTTTTTTTTTATAGTTGCTGTCGCTGTATTTGTAACGGCAAGAAAAATTTTATTATTATTTATTTAACTAAAACTATCACCTTTATCCTGATTCTGAATAAAAGAGAGCTTGTGACATAAAGAATCAAGAGATAAAAGTAGCAGTTTTAGTATAATAAACAAACTATTTTTTAAATTATGTTTTTTTAATAATTAAAATTTATTTATTTTTCATTGTTGCTACTGCTGCTACTGCTCCTGTTGGGGGTACTTGCTGGTTTGCTGTTCTCACTGGTCTTGAGTGTTCTGTTGCTGTGCTGTGTTGTGTTGATTTGTGTTGTGATACTACTACTAATGCTGGTATTATGCTGGTTCTCACTCCTGCTGATGTTACTGATGTGCTGTGCTGTGTTACTTCTGGTGCTCGCTTCTAAGTAATGGGAGATAAAGTAAGTGTATATACATATATAATTTATACATCTCTTTTTTCTGTTTTAGGTGATTAGAGCCATCTTGGAGGAGATGACGTATCATCCTCCTCCTATAATCGACCTCTAGGCTTAATTTTCGATCCACAGTATGAGAATCAAAAAATTGAGTCTTCTATGCTACAATGTATAGGAGGCTCAATTGTCGATTCACATACTGTGGATCTTCGACAATACGAGGTGTATTGCCGAGATAAAATTGATATGCCGCTACCACCTTTTGCAGTTTCTTCTCTTCCTAAATTAATAAATTTAGGGAGAGTGAAGTAAAAGTTACTTCAAGAACAGCAGTTGGTAGAGAAAGTGAGTATTTTCTTTTTATTCGTTTAATATACATATTTTTTGTCAATTTATTTAATTATTAATTTATTAATTCATTGGTATTTTTTTGGCAGGAGAAAAATATATGCTACAATTTCCTCTGCACGTTGCGTTTAAGCAGCATGTTGAAGAAGTTGGAGTGGTCCGAGGAGGAGGACATCGCGCACTACAACAAAATTTCTGTAGTGCGCAGGGCTGAGCTGCTCGCCATGTGTAGCAGAGAGAGGCTCCTGAAAAAGAGAAATCGGTGGGACACGTACGTAAGCACAGTCCCACCGATTCAAGCTCCTCTCTCTAGAAGCACATTAAGAGATTTCTCCCTGCTGCAACGGTCATTGACAAAGCATCGCAGTAGAACCAGTCGAAGACGAGGAGGATGAGTCGGATGAACAACTCAAAAAGAGGTTTCTTCTCTCATCTCAGTCCTGCCAAGGATGAGGGAGAAAACCTCTCTCGTTTTTATACTACTGCTGCTGCTGACCTGCGGAGGAAGATGGCGCCGAAATCATCACCACGAAGGTCTCTCTCCGATATTCATAACCGTTAAACGGTGAGTGCCGAACCATCGTGTGATGGTATTTTTTTTATTGTTATTTTAATTTATTTTGTATTAGTCTTTTTTTGTGTTCTTTTTAATTTATATTTAGTTTTAGTATTTCGTTTTAATTTTTTAAAGATTTTGTATTATTTTGTTAAGGTTTTAGTTGTTTAAATAAATTTTATTCCCCCCGACCGTTAAACAGCTGTGACGGTTCTGCACCATAAAAATTGCGCTTTATGACGCAATAAGTGTTCCAGAACCGCCATAGCTCATCTACTTACCGTGTACTTCATGTAACCCCAATAAAAGTTATATAAAGGCGTCAAGTTGGGTGATCTAGCTGGCCATTCAATTGTGCAATTGTGGTCCGTCTGATCTGCGACGTAGGCATCACGGCAATGCGTGCAGGTATAGCAGAACTCGTTCAGCCTTCCATAATTGTCGTAGATTGGATGAACAAGAGGTGGATTCGGATAGGCTAACCTTCGATGCGTTCCAGTGCGGCAATTGAAGCATCGGAACGCCAAGATGTCGACTTTTGGGGTCTACAATACCAAGGGCCAAGTCTTTGAGGAAGGAACCTCGCACCACCGTTTACCTTGCTTCATCGAGCTAACACGGACGTCTAGTCCTCTGCCAAAGATGATGAATCGGATCTTACTGGCGTCGAGGGTAACCTTCTTAGCATTACCTCCGGCCTCTCGCGAGACGTAGGGCACCGCAGTAGGCACCCTTCTGCCTCCCAACTCCTTAGTTTCAGCAGATCTTGTTTCTCCCGTCTGAGCGACCCGCGATTTTACCTCAGATACCGGCAGTGTAGAGGAGCCTATCGTTTCCACGACAGCAGCTACTGCTGCCCTAAGTGCCAGAGGTGTCTGCGCCGGAACTGGTCTCTCAAAGTTGCACCCAGACAAGTTAAAGGTCATGGAGCATTTCCTCTTGCCCGCGCTCTGACGAGCCTCGGCCTCCTTCTTCCTCTCATCTTCCAGGTAGCCCGTCGGCGGGTAAAGCGCTATCTCGCCGCAGTGAACAAATTGATAGGTCGGTTCTAACTGTTGGAGTGCCATCGGCTTGTAGGGCAGTAGCTCGTAGTTATAGGGTTGAGGAGCTATTCGAAAAGGCTCCGGAGCCTCTCCCGCCTCACTGTCTGAGTCGCTTGAGCCGTTATTAATCTCAAGTACTCCGTTCGTTGCCGAATCGAGCAAATAACTCAGACCGCCGCACCCTATTGTCACCCGCTTGACCCGACTTTTAAAGTGGAGTGAGAAATGGTGGCGGAAAAGATTGTCCTTCCACCAAGCCTTTTACGACCCCCCGAGACCGTTGCTAGAGGTATCGGCAGGGTAAGGGAGGGGGCCGCGGTATTACCAGAGGCCGCCTGTTCAGCGTCCGAAGTTGAAGCGACATGCCTCTGTACCAGATCTACCTCCATCACCTCAAATGTTTCCGACGCAGACGACGAAGCCGATGCAGTAGATATGGGCTCAACAACCGAGACTATTTCAGCCTTGGGCACACACTCCTCTCATTCTGTTATCCTCCGGCAGATCCGTTGACATCTTAAAAGAAAACTGACCGTCAGTAAAGAAAGTGATTTTACTTATGATCGAGTAGCTTTCCACGGCGGAATATAATGCTTAATTTCGGAAATGTGAATTCGAGTCGTACGATGCTTGCTATCGGAAGCTAACTCATTAATCTCGGGTGGTGATACCAATATTACCTCAAGCGGTCCGTCATACTTTAGATAAAATTATAAAATTTTCAGATGAAATTATATTATTTGTGCAGTAGAAAAGACATTTACAATCCAATTTTAGGTTATGTATTGATTTTTCAGAAAAAATATAGAGCTTTATTCAATTAGGAAACTATAAAATATATTTGAGGATAGACTTTGATTGATTTAAGTCGATTTCAGTTGGTTATTCTACTCGATTTAAAAGAAAAACGATTTTCCCAAAATAGTGCGTTATCACTAGCGGCTATTTTCTAGATAAGTAATATTTTGGATTTGTAGCACCTTTCTATTAAAGTACAAAGTATAATAAGTATTTTAAAAAATTATCTAATTTCAGTGAAAATTGGCCTGCGGAAGGAATTTTGACACAAAAACGGGTGAACATTCCTACTGTTCGTCGTTGTTCCTGGGTAACGCGAAATATAAAAGTAATTACCTTGAAGGTCACGCGTACCCAGCCTACACTTGGATCAAACCTAAAAACCATCAGCTAATCTTGAAGGTCTTCATTGACCTAATAACCTAAGTATAATTTTAAACGTAAAATTTCCCGCTCTCTCGACTATCGTTTTCAAAATTAGAGGCCCCATGACCCCATGACCCTATGATTTAACGATTCTGTGACCCAATGACACAATAACCTGAGTACAATTTTAAATTAAAATTTTTCATTCTCTCGATTGCCGTTTTCAAAAATTGAGGCTTCAGTCCTCATGCCCCAATGACCGTAAGATCTATAACCTAAATACTTTGGGCTCTTTCAGTTGACGTTGTCCAAAATAGAGGTTTGTATTTAAAAAAACAAAGTTGACTTTAATATATCATTGAAGGACACGCTCAAGGTCAAACTCAAGGTCACCAATCGATTCCTTCTGAAAAGTTACCCATAGAACGACCTTGACTTTTTCAAAATAATCGTTCACTAGGCAAATTTTTGGGGTTCTTCGTTACTTTTTGAACACCTTGTATAATATACCAATGTAATTGAATGTTTTTTTCTGTCGATAACTAAATAAATACTGTCTCTCATTTTTAAACAAACATGCGCATGATTCTGAAAAGAAAATTCAAAGTCTTTAAAGAAGAATAGTTCACACAAATACCTGAATAGTGATATACAATTTTAAGTATTTTCTTAGATTATACTTGAATTATTAATTAAAGTATTATAAATAAACAAATTAATTAAACGTAATATTTTCAGCTTCGAAGAGCATGGTCAACACGAGATGGGCCGTACTTAGCTGTAAGTAGACGATTTTTGTTAAATCTTGGATTATCCACAGTAGAACTATAGTATAGTGTCGAAAAGCAATAGGAAATTGCGATTTTATGGATCTACTTGATAAATAATTCTAATAATTTAATTCATTTCTACGTGTCATCAGCTTGTGTTTTCTGATCTCTTTAGCATACTATATCAATAATAATACAAATTAAAAATATAAAGTATTTTTATGTAATTTTTAACGTAGCTGCTTGCAAATTGGTTGCTCTCGGGTAGCTCAAATTGATGTCGATTACATCTCCATGGGTATATTTTTTATATTTGCACAATATCAACGTGAAAAAATAAAATGTATAATAAACAACGTTTAGTAATCGTATTATGTTTCAAGTAACTGATAGGTTCATATTGATGTGGTGAGCAGTATTTGCATACTTATAATTTGTAACGGGGTGTGAATTCCGTTTTAATTTCTTTGTCTTGCCCGATGCGCAATCGTATCGGAATGCGCGCGGCGAGATCGAAATAATCAAGTTTTGCTGGCTAACCGAGGAGCAGGAGGGGCAGGTGTCAGTCAACCAACTTACTAATAGCAAATACAACAGTAAATTAACGTTTCAACCATACATGGATTAGTTTATTCATCATGTAATTTACAACGCACTTGGCCCGTGCATTTACGCTCATACGATACGCGCGACAATATTGCGTATCGTCATTTCGTTTACAATCATTCGGTCGAGTTATTCGCTTGCATGCTCACCGCTACCGATTTTCTTATATTCGTAGATGTGAGGGAAGAGCTAAGATGTTACGCGCGGTCGCTTATCGAAAACAATAACGCGAAGCTGGCCAGCTTACCTTATGCGACTAGTCGCGCTGTCAAAGGGAGCAGTTCAATATCGTAGTTTAGCGCGTGGCTCAGGTTGCCATTTTTCCACTTAGACACGAGGCTCTCTCTGTCGTCGTGCTGCTTCCGTCGGACGAATTCAGCAATCTCGTGGCTGGCCTCCGATGGCGTCTAAGCTAGCCACTCGAACTCGCAGCAACAACAAAGGACGATCGACCGTTTCACGTTCACTCTTCTTGTGGCGTTCACACGCACGCACGTCGTTGCCGGTGCTAAAGGCACTCCTAGGTTTGGGCACGCTATTCACGACTTTCGGGTAGCTGCACAACTATAGCGTTAGTGCTCCTGGACTCCTGCACGTTGTTACCGGTGTCAAAGGTGCTCTCCCACTGGTCCTTTTCTCTTCGCGCGCGTTCCTTCCCATTTCGGACCGAGTTCCCGTTTTCGACTGAAGAGTATTCTGTCTTGTACTCATTGCAAGTATTCTATCAGCAATTATACCGTTATCGTGGCAAGTCACTCAAACTCTTGATGGTCTGAAAGAAGAAAAAAAAAGAATCTGATATGATAAGAGGTCAACGGACCTCGTCTTCGAAATCAACGATCCTAAAAACCTATATGTATTTTTCTAGATTTTTTTGGAGGATTTCTTCCAAAAACACTACATAAAAACAGTGAAGTCTTCTATTTTTATTATGAGGTGCTTAGGGTGAATAGGGAGAGAGGGATGAGTGGGATCCATTTCAGGTGGAATCGACTTCTTATTGTTAGCAGATACTGTAAGATTTAAAAAAAATTTTTTTGGTCAAATCCTAATTGGGCCAAAACCCCGCCCTAGGGACCCTCCCCTTTTATATTTTATGTTATATCAATACTATTTGAAAAATTTTCAAACTCGAGTAAAATATGATTATAATTTATTAAACAATAAATATTATTATAATATTATATCTACTTCTCTAGTATTTTCTTTGTTACCGACACAAATTATTTATAATCATATTTTAAAATTTTTTTATTGTTTATTACTAAAATATCGTCTTCATTTTAGACTACATTATATGATAAAATTTTATGTTCAAAGAATCTTTTCCTAAGTCATATTTCAATGTAGCCGTCTGTAAATAAAAACATTTCTAATGCTTTATTCTAATGCTGTGTTCTATTTTTGATTCATTTAATATAATTATTTTTTACTCCGTTTTATTTGTCTTTGAAGCACTAACTTATTCAAGCAAAACTTTTTAATTTTATCGTTCTGCTCTCTCATATAATCTATAGAATTATTCTTAAAGATTTATGAGTTTTGATAACGTTTTTTCTTTTCCCTTTGTATGTAATTTTCCTCATTAATTTCCTAAAATTTCACCTAACGAACGTATACGTTTATCGCTATTTTCGAAACGCGAAGATGAGCAAGATAGTAGTAAGGGAATGAGAGAGTCACAAATGAGTATGAATGCTTGCCGGCGACTAAGAGAAGTAAGGAAGGAGTCGGTACTTACCTACAGTATGTGTAAATTAGGAGTGAGAACACAAAATAGTATCGATTCACACATTACTATCATGATCGTGCAACCAGTATCGTAGGGAAATGGTGGTTTTACTGTGCATGTGTATTTTCCAAGAAATTAGAAGGTGAGAAAAAAAGAGGAAATTTGCAAAACAAGAAGCAATTCAACAAAAAGTTTTCCGTTAGCAATCTGCATGGTAACCTGCAGTTTTTAACATCAACAGCGAGTTAATTCGAGTGCAGCTGGATATCTTATTTCATCAATCAACCAAGCAACAGACAGTAGTAGTGGTCATTGTCCGATGTGCGCTTAAAAGAGCGAGCATAGCTACGCATCGTGGTTTGTTTCTGTTCTTTCTCTCACTTGTAGTGCATCACCGTTAGTTAGGACAGGGCTTACTCTATCATTACTCGAATATGTAAGCGACGTCGTAGTAAGACGTCTACAAATATATAGTATTAGCGCGATACCTTTACTAAACAAAATGTCGAATACAATAATGAGTTTGGGTAAGGTCACAAATCTAAAGATGAATCGGATCAACATGGTCTACAAACTGAATTATAAACATTGCGATAGGATATATATTGGAAAATAAATATGCATATACGAAATTTAATCATGAGCGTGATTAGATCGACGTTAGCATGTTGAATTTCAAATCTAACTAGTACGTATGGAAAGGTAATGGGTATCGACGACACTCGAGGGTGGTGTTATATAGCGCGAGCGATGTCGTGCATGATCACACGTATAGATCAGTAAGAATGGGGCATCTGTAATTGCCAAGTGGTTATAAAACTCTTTTCTAATCAAGTACTGAAATGGCATGCAAGGTCATTAGTACGATAGTGTTTTGTCATCTCGAGCAATTCGTGAGTTGCGTAGCAGAGTCACTCGTATAAGACCTAATCATCATAGTAAAACTATTCGACTACATTCATTTGTTCTGATTACAGCACTTAAGAGCTGTTATTTTGTAAGTTGTTTTGTTGATTTGTGCTGATGCGTCATAGTTGTTTTTCATACTATTTTTTTATTCTGTTTCTTTTACAGTAAAGTTTCTGTAGAGGCTAAAGAATTTATTAATGAAACATCAAAAGTTGTTTTCTGTCCGTATTACCACTATCGATCAAGTACAGATTCAACTAAGATAATACTATGGCAGGCAAGAATAACATTCCAAGAAATTTTAATTAATTATTCCAAGAAATCCTAACAAATTGTAATAATTTGTTAGGATTTCGTCGTGGATATGTTTGCTTACAATCTTTTCGATAGCCTTTAAACAAAATGATGCCGAAAAATTTGTAGTCTTTTCAGACTACAATTGGTAGGTTTTATATTCTTTTTTCTACCTGAATGGATTGTTATCTTTACAAGCTTCGAGTAAAACTCTTACGAACTTGTCTGTCGTTATCTCTAAGGTTTTAACATCGTTGACCTATTTGTCAAATTCCTAAGATATATTTTCAGGCTATTTAAGTACTTTCCTGTAGTCTGTCTGCTAGAGATTCTTGTTATAGCTTGTTTATTGAGTCAATTAAGTCTGGATTTTATACCTAATGGTAGCATGATCTGACTGAAAGTATTCGTCTGATACATTTCATTTCTTGACCTCATTGCTTACGCTAATGGAATGGAGGATAATATCAATCACTTAATTGTCCTCATTTCAAAAAGTTGGGGTAGTTCCAATGTTTAGGATGTTTAAGTTCGTAATAGTTAGATATCTTAGCAAATCTACACCTGTTTCGCTGATATCTGATTCCCCATAACCTTTGAGTTAGCACCACAGTCTACCAATAGTGACAGACGTTTTCCGTTGCACTAGTTCACCAGTTCATGGAATTTTTTCGTCAGATTATCTGTGCTATTATAGAGAAAGTATGCCAATGCGATGATCAACCCACCTACCTCCCCTACTTCAACAGCAATTACCGTTAAGTCTTCTGCATTATAACTCAGGAGTGAAGTGACTGTAATTTATTTAGTAAGAATGCACATTCGAACTAATGGCATTTGAATATCTGCAGTATTTGGGTATAGTAAATAACAATAAGTGAATAATAATAAATAGCGATAAAGTAGTAAATAACGATTGCTTTCTTTAGTTGGTTCCGTAACTGTGTGACGAGAGTAGGCAGTTGCCTGTTTCTCGTCGGTCACTCTGCCTCCCCCTTTGCCCTCGGCAAGGCTCAGTGGTCAGTATTGGGCGCACTTTCTCTATGCGTCTAATACTGTACCTCTTTTTCAGCCGCCATAAATTATCAGGGCTCAGATTATCAAGATAGAAAGAGCGCTCACGTGAGCGCACACTAAGCGGTTATTAGGCAGGCGGGCGACGCGCGACCAATTAGCGCTTCGTCACACGCTGCCTAAAAATGGGCTAAGCAGGGATAGTTTGCAAGAGAGCGGTCACTGCCCGCGCAGGAGTATTGCGTGGCGACACTACGTCAGCCATCAATCGAGGTCAGTCGAGAACGGAATTAGCTCGCTCCGCCATCATCTGCCATTGTTCCTTGCGAAGAAAAGGTTGGATGCCTTCCATCCTAAGCGGCCCCACGCCCCGGCCTTTAGTCATAGCGCGCACCACCTGCAGCAGCAACAATGACGAGAAGCCGGACAGTCGGCCTGCCCTACAGTTGCCACTT